CCTTGGTTTGATTATCTTTAAAACTCAATTGTTTTTCTACTAAGGACTCGATTGTCTTACTTGACGCAGTGTAATTTTTGAAACTAACATCTGTTTTTCCACACTTAATTTTCAAAGTGTCAAGTTCTTCAGTCACAACATCAAGTTTTCTTTTGATGTGATCATAATTCTCACACTTATTGTTGTAATCTTCTTGTAGTTTTCGGAAATCCTTGATTATGGCTTCTAATTGAGCATTCAGGGGTTTTTGTTCTTTCCTAATAGTGTACTTCTCATATTTTAGATCCTCATTTTCCCTTTTGATTAGATCTATTGATTCTCGTAAAAATTTCATAGTTTTAACATAAGATGGAGAGCAACCGGATTCATTTACCTGAATTGATGTGGAACTCATTTTCCCTTATTATTATTATTATTATTATTATTATTATTATTATTATTATTATTATTATTATATATATATAATTTTTTATTTTTTTATTTTTTTTAATTGCCCTTTGACTTAAAAACCGAGAAAGTCAACTTTAAAAGTCAAATTTAAAAAGTCAAACTCGAAAATTCAAACTTAAAAGTCAAACCGAAAAGCTAAATTTGAAAAATTAAAAGTCAAACGAGAAAGTTAAAGTTTAAAGTCAAAGGTCAAATTTTAAAAGTCAAAGTCAAAATTTTAAGGTCAAAGATAAAAATAAAATCAAAAATTAAAAACTAAAATTTTGGATTGAAAATTGGAATTTAAAAATAAAAGAAATTGATTTTTGGGTTGAAATTGTCAATTTGCGAAATTATAAACCGAAAAGGACAGCTTATTATTTATGTTTCGAAGGGATGACACAAAGGGTGTGCTAGTCGAGTTGGTTAAGGCGTTGTGGCAATGACCAAGAGGTCCCGGGTTCGATCCCCATCACCTCAATTCCGTTCCCCCCTTTTTTTATATAAGGTCGTGCACGTCAAAGCCAAGCCGAAGTGAGCTGCTGCTGACCCAAGCATCCAAGCCGATCACCGTTCACCGAGCTACAAACTGCTGAGCCGCACACGTCGAGCCATATACCAAGCCGCACTCCAGGCCGCACACACCGAGTCGTACACTCCCTAGCCGCACACCTTCAACATATTCGCTAAAAAAACGACGTTTTTCACCCTTTTTTGCTCTAAAACTCGATCAAAAAATCGTTTTTATGAAAAATGCAAAGAAGTAACCCCCTGCCCCCCTTACTTTTTAGAGATCTATCCAGAAACGCAATTATCTTTTCAAAATAAGATCAAATAAGCTCCAGATCTGACAAAATTGACTGATACAACCTTTGTTCTGATACCAATTGTAAGTCCCCAAAATTGCTTGTGTATCAGTCAGATCCAATTGATGGTGCGGAATCCCAATCAATTGGATGATGTCATATTAAATAGAAGAGAATGAGAAGAAGAAGAAGATGAATCTATGATGTATTAATGAAATTGAGTGATGCTCCTTACAATAGATTCTCTCACACACACTACTTCTCTCTAACTTTCTCTCTCTTCTCTAGCCATACACTCCTCTACCATTTACATCTATTTATATGGGCCTCCAGCCATACACATGTGTACAGCCACACACCCTGTGTATGGCCGTACACACGTGTACGACCGTACACACAAACCGCAAACACATACAACATTACATAAAAATACATTTTCCTAGAAAAGCAAAGTATAAACCATATTTTTGACCCAACATAGTGACTCGACGAGTTGATGCTACGACTCATCGAGTCGAGTTGCGCATGGTCACGTGGGTTTATTGACCTACTCGGCGAGTCCAAGGGGCTACTCGCCGAGTAGGCGCTGGATTGAGAAACCCTAAATCCCCAGGTTTGGGACCTATTTAAAGGCACTTATAGCCTCCTTGGGCGGCCACAATTCACAGAGATAAACCCTAACCTGCCCCTTTCGTTGTATGTATATATATATATATATATATATATATATATACATATATATATATATATACATATATATATACATATATATATATATATAGAGAGAGAGAGAGAGACCATTTTGAGCATTCTTGTGCATTTTTAGGTAGGATTGGAAGAACTTGGTGGATCTTGGCCACAATCTTGTGGATCTTGCATTCTTCTATCATTAGCTGCTATTCAGAGGTAAAAAGCTCTCATCTTGGCCACATATTCATTACATCTCATTTTTGGGAGTTTTTAGGGTTATCTTCCAAATCATATTGTGTTCTTAAGTTATTTGAGCATGGTTTGAGGTTAGAACCTCAGATCTGGACTAGAGAAGGCCTTGAGAGTCCAAAGATTCGAACTTTATTGAGTTAGAGGCAGGTCCACATTCATTTAACCTTCCTTGGAGCTTGTAATGACATTATGGAGCATTTATGCTAAGCATGAATGCAAAGATCAAATCTTTACGTGAATTTCGAGCCTAGGGAGCATAGATCTAGTGTTTAGAGTGATAGATCTGCCCTAAAACGTCTGAATGGGAGTATGGAATGGATGAACTCACCGATTCCGTGAGCAGACGCGACGAGTCGATTAGGGTTTACCCGATAAAGTCTGAACACGCTACAACTCGACGAGTTGATGAGTCTACTCGGCGAATAGAGTTGGTTTTCATAAGGTCTCTGAGGGAACGAGGGAACTCGACGAGTCCTCCTGGTGCACTCGACGAGTTGAGTCAACATGGACTGTTGACTCAAGTTGACTTTTAGAGTTTGGACCAAATATGGGTAATGGAGACCATGGAGGGGTAGAATGGTCTTTTACCCTTTCCAAGAGTTATAGAGGGGTTAGTAGAAGCTTATTAGAATAATTGGTCTAATTAGAGATAATCACCATATGTATTAGCCGGAAGCTGTTTCAGTGATTCGTGTACGAGGGGTATTAGCTTGCTTACTTCGAGGTGAGTCTTCTCACTATACTTTACCTAGAGTGGTAACTATGTGTGACCAAAGGGTATTATGTGCTTGCTTAAGTTATGCATGTTTGTGTGATATGTATTGTATGTTATATTATGTGTTACTTAGACCGGACCGGACGGTCCAATGAACTATGAGACTGGAAGGTTCTCAACCAGACCGGACAGGAGGGTCCAACGAGCTGTGAGGGTGGAGGGTCCCACTAAGACACATTGACTGGAGGGTCTTATAGAGCTATAGCCTTAAGTGGCTAGTTTTTGTGCGTGGTATTTTGGGGAACTCACTAAGCTTCGTGCTTACCGTGTTATGTGTTATGTGTTTCAGGTACCTCAGACGATCGTGGGAAGGCACCGGCATGATTGCACTCATCTGTTCGAGATTATGTTGAGGATTATGGGAATTGACTTTTGTTGAGATTTTATGTTGACATTGAGACACTTATGATTTTCATGAAATATAATATATGAGTTTCATGTGTTTTAAAAATGAAATTTTTGGTTGAAATTTTACATCGTTACAACCCGGTCTTTTGTATCTCTTGTGCTTAGCAAGAGATTTGCTGGAGCTCCAGTGGAGCAAGATAGTCCTCTTGATGTAAATATTGACGATGATAGGACGGTCGTGGTCGCAAGCATTCATCGGGATTGTACCCTCCAGTTGTTCAGTGAGTGGTATCAGGTTGATCTGGTTCCCATTCCTTTGCATGTGAACAAGGTCATTGTGGGCATGGATTGGTTGATCCCTAATGGGGCGGTGATTGATTGTGAGCGAAGAAATGAGAAAAAATCAGTAAACCTAGACTAGAATAGTCCAACTGTTGAAAATACTAAAACAATATTTCAGAATCGTCAAGTGCCAAGTAGTACGGAAAATAAAGAGTTGTGAAGCACCAAGTTAATGATAAAAATGGTTTTTTAATGTTCAAGATCAATGATTCAAATGTTTTTCATATACATGAAGATTCAATTACAAGTGTTTGAATGTAAAACACATTAAAACTCTCAAGTGGTTCTCTGAAGACTGGTCTAAGAAGTAATTGTGCAGAATGAGTGGGAATGATCTGAAAAGAGCAATATTATAATGGATCCCAAGAGGACTATTTAAAGGCTTTGGAAGATCCCATGACATGGCTTAACCAATTAGGTGCTGACACGTCATCATGACTTAGTCATCAGTTGCCACCATTGCCCTACTTAACGGAGAATGGATGGAATATTCCACTTCTGTTAATATTTCGTTAGGGTTCCATGCAAGTTATGAGTCTTCATAATTCTTGAACCTTCTTTATCAACTTTGAAAAGTGACGAGCAACATGAGCATCATGTTGCTCAATTTTCTTCTTAGATGTCATCAACTTCCAGAAGTGTTGTTGGCCAAGTTGAGTAGTTTCTTGATTGTTAGATTGTGTCTTGAACTTGAAGATCTACCACCACATGTTCATGATGAACCATGTATGAAATTCATGTTCCTTTGAGCATTTGGATGTGCCTTTATTGTAAATGATGTGTCATGTGCAGTCTTGTTGAGCCATCAATTTGATCATGTTGATCCATTAACTTGAGTTGAGCCACCAAGTATTCCTGTTGAGGCAACGATGTTTCTGATGAGCCATCAATATTCTAAATGATCCATCAGCATCTTGATGCTCTATATATAATATAGATGTATCATCTGAGATCATGATGATCCAACTTGCTTTTTCATGTGCTCCATGTAAACTGAAAGTGCTCCATGTTCAGCAAGTGACACATGTCAACATTAGGTGCTCCAGGTAAGTTGCAAGTATTCCAACATCTGATTCTTCAAACAATTGTTGAATCTTCAGCATCCTTCCAACCTGTAACATTCTGATAATGTTTGTTAGAGAGATATATAAAAGGACTCAACTTATTACAAGTGACAATCACATACAAATATTTCCCAACAGTTTCCCCCTATGTGATGGTTACTAAAATATGGAGTAAAAATAAAAGATGAAATAAAAGTAATAACATGCAAGATGAATTTTAACAATAAGATAAATTACCAGTAGTAAAAACATCATCCACATGTTTGAAAAAACAAAACAAAAAAAAAACATAGTCTAAACTTTGTTTCTCAAGTTTATTAGCCATTGCCAAAAACTCAAAAACCATGTAAGTTCTTCAACGATATTCACTCTCAGCGATTCATCTTGATCTCCTGTTCTCTTCAATAAACCAATGATGCCTTTAATGAATTCAGAAGAGAATAGATGTTTTTCGGAGATTCTCATGAATTTCAGTCAACCTTTAGAAGAGAATACAGCACCTCTATGTGGTTTCTTTAGAATGTCACCAGATGACTCATTCTCCATATTTAGATCCAAATTTCGTTCCTCAGCTTCCTTTTCTCCTAGCTGTCCAATCTCCCGGTCAACACTTAAATTAATAACCATGTCGAGCACATATTGTCTTAGGCATTGTAGAACATCTGCATAAGATTTATCTGTACTCACCATTTGTTTCAACCAAATGATTAGTGTATGATATCATCTTGGTTTATTTTAGGGAAATCAGCTTCAGAAAACATGAATTCAGAGTTGTCTGTCCTTTCTTGAAAGAATGCATATGGCATCTTTCTGAATTTCCGTGTGTCAAATTTGCTAATTGAATCAATCTTGAACTTTGACCATACAGGGTCAGCTTGAATTAATTTCTTCAGGAAGAATATTTTCTTTATCTATTCAATGTCTATATCAACCTCAATTGGATAAATTACACTTAGCCATAAATTAAACATCATACCATTCGGGGGTGCAGGAATATCCCAGTTTTCTTTAGTGAGGTCTGAAGGAGGTGTAAAGGAATTTGTGGGTTTGACGACCTTTAAATTTTAATCGGAATCTCTATCAAGGTTAAAGAAGATGGTTCGTTTAGGTGAAGACGCTCTAAATTGTTAAGCATGCCATGTACTCCTTTCTTCAGTCGAGATCTCTAAAGATTTTCTTTTGAGAAGCACCTCTTGTTTAGACTTTAATTCCTTAGCCTTCAGTTTCCTAGCAAATTCTTCATATATCTACATTTGAGCTTCTTTAGCTAATTCCTTCTAAGACTTGAAGATGGTCTTCTGTTTTCCCTTATCCTTGGGATCAGTTTGAGAAAGCTTTGGCTGAGTGGTTGGTTCTGATATGGTGATAGGTTTGGATAAGTAAACATCGTTCCTTCTTGGAACTTTTAGAGATGGATCTTTGATCTTTTGTCGTTGAACGAGTTCCATTTCTTTCTCAAATATCTCTGCTCTGTTCTGTTGAGCCTTTAATCATGCATCAACAGCCATTTTGTCAAGTGACTCTATTTTCTCATGTCTCTTTTTCTCAAACTCATTTGGTGAGTTTGGAATTTGGTGTGTGATAGGAGACTGACTTGATCTAGTCTTGTGGACCTTTTCCCCCTCTGGTTCAGGTGGCCTCTCATTTGAACCAGATAGCTTTGCTAAGATCAAGTCAAGTTTAGAATTAGTTGATGCAACCTTTTGTTGAAGAGCACATAGATCTGAAGAGGAACATTGTTTCTTGATATCCTTGACTTCATCGACTAGCAACTGAACAGTCTTCTGAAAGGAAGATATGTCACCTGATGAACTATTGTTTTTCTCAGAATTATATTTGGATAGATTTGCTATGTCAGAGCTTAATGAATCCAATTGATGTTGAACTTGCTCACTAAACGACTGAAAAGGAGAGGTTGAGGATGATGCAGAAGCTTTAGATAGTTCAGCAATGGACTTCTCAAGAATGGAGATATAGCGGTCTTGAGTAGTAACATGACTCTGTATATGATCCAATTTGGCTTCATAGACAAACTATAGATTGGATAAGGACTGAATGAAGTCATATATCTTTTGATTCATCGGAGAGAGACAATCTTTAATAGTGTGATGAATTTTCTGATCTAGAGTTTCAACCCTCCGCATGTTGCGAGAAACTTGTCCTTTGAAATAAGCAGTTGTGCCTTCAAAATATTCAATAGTGACTTTAAGTGCTTTGACTCGTGCTTCTATTTTCTCATTAAGGATACACATATTTGCTTCCATACCATCAAGATTTTCTTGAAAGCTCCGCAGATATTTAGAGTGAGAAGATGTCTGAAAGTGAATCTCTGCAATACCATCAGCTACCATTTGGGTAGTAAGTCTGATGTGCTCAGGCTCTGGTTTTGTGGTATTGGCTTCATCTGTTTCTTTAGGAGTACCATCGTCCTGAAGAGGATCTTGCTGAAAGGATGAGAGATTTGGTTCTTAAACGTTATCATTTTCTTGAGAATCTTTTGGTGTTGGAGGAGAGTAGTCATCAAGATCAATGTTGAAAGCCCTGGTAGATGCATTAGAGTAAAGGACAATGGACATGTCATTTGTCTCATCATCGACTATCAGTCCTTCACCGGAAGGAATATCTACTGTCTGCATTGGAGTATCCTCATCATGATTATCTTGTACAGGAGAACCTTGAGGAAAAGCTTCTGGTTCGGATTGCTTATCATCATCTTGGTTATCATCCTTAAATAAGTCATAATCCAAGGATACATGATGGATTGGACTTTCTAGAACTGACTGAACGCGTGCTGATGAAGATGATGGTTCATCATAATCAGATGGAGCTTGAAACAAGGAATCTAAGAAAGACAATGACGCAGAGGTTGTACCAGATTTAGGAAGAGATGTGGGTTCCCCTAAATCTGCTCCATGATTATCATCAGAGACGGTTGGAGATGGGATAGGGGCAGTTGATTTGATTTGGATTTCTTTTTCTTCTTTGCCAACTTCTTGGATGCATGATCGGCATGCTTCCTCTTCTTTTTAGGAGGCGAAATAATTCCATGGATGTATTTTTGATACAAGCATAAAGAAGCACTGTTTTCATCTAGCATAAAGAATCTAGAATGATGATTGGTTGTGAAGACCCAGATTCAGATGTCATACTAATCCGATATGGTGTCATACACAATAAATATGGTTGTGGGCCTTCTGGAATCCACCTGGTGCAATATTACTATTATGGATTGTGTCATATATAATGATAGACCACCAACGAGGATGATGAATCAAAAACTTATTCTTTGAGGCAGGGAGAAAATTGAGGAAATATTCCCAAAGAATAGACGCGTAGTCAACATTGATGTCATAGAAGAGCCAGTATATAAGAATCCAAAGGTCTGTTTTACCGCGACTGCGTCCACCAACCGATCCGAAGAAACATCTAGCGAGGACGGAACTGAGAAAGTTCCATGGTGTGGGAAGACAAGATTTCCGAATTCTTGAAAGGCATGGTTCATTTTCATCTTCAAATTTATACCCCATTTCCTTGAACATTGTCAACAATTGAGCAGAAGTTGGTGTGTGACATGTATGAGGTTTAGGAGAAATATCGCTTAGACCTAAATTGACTGTGGACTCTTCTTTAGTTATGAACAAAGTAGCTTGAAAAAGATTAAATTCAACATCAAGTTGTTTGGACCTTGCTCTTGTGGAGATGACTGCTGACTGAGAGACTTATGTGATAAGAGATTGTGGAGTTGGAGAAGTAGAAAGAAGTGCATATGCCAATGGGCATTTATGCAAATGTTTAACTATGACACCAACTTCTTTGGGTTGTTCATGAGTGTTAAGAAGTGCAGTATAGTTGGATGCAGCCATTTCAATCTTAGGTGTTGATGAGTGTGTCTCGGTTGAATGTCCGGTGGTATAAGAGTGTGAAGCGTTATGAGAAGACTTTGCTTTAGAGTCTGTTCATCTTCTTTGGAAGCCATGTCTTTAGAAAATAGAAGAAGAAGAAATAAATGAAATGAATTGTTAGTTAAATAAACATAGCTAAAGAGCAATTATCTTATAATCTTAACTAAAAAAAGGGGGAGTTGAAATGTGTGAATTTGCATTTACTAAACAAGGTTGCGACTTGATTAGTATTGCTGATTCAACTATGGAAAAGAAGAATTTGCAAATTCATTTTCACTAAGTATAGGCCAGAAAGCAAATTACATGACAAGTTGGAATAGGAAAGGAAGAAATTGATGTCATATAAAACAACACACAAAAAATTGATGTTACTAAGTCATAGTGAAGGATCCAGTTAATGGTTTGGTCTAGGCTTTTAGTGTATAATTTTTTGGATAGAGTCTGTAATATTGTTTATGATTTGTGCATGAAACTTGGTTTGTCTACGTGTTTAAGACCATAAACTGTGTTTAGGGTCGTAAACTAGTTTACAGTCGTAAACCCAGTTTACGGTAGCAAACCCAGTTTACGGTCTGGTCTTGTATAAATAGTGGAGGAGTCGGTCTTTTGTGGTAGTTGATGCCGTCACGTTTACACAGAGTCCATCGAGTTGTACCTGATGATTTTTTAATATAATCATGTGCAAGCTTGGTTCCTTTTCATCTTATTCTTCTTGTGTGATTGATTGTTGCTTAACTAATGGTAAAGATCCATATTCAGACCTTACAATTGGTATCAGAGCAATAAACCGGTGTTAAGGCTTCTTTCAATCTATTCTTTGGGATATTTCAACCGATATCTTTGAAGTACGGATCTGATGTTAGTGTTTATGTGGTGACAGGAAGCACTTCTACTAAAAACAATCGTGTTTATCATGTTCATAAGGGATTTCTAGGAGTTTGCTGTCGACCGTAAACTCCATTTACGATTGCTGAATTAACAACATCAAGAACCGTAATCTTGGAATCATCATAAACGGTAAACTAATTTTCAAGGATTGCAAACACATAAACCGGAAACTCTCAAACCGTAAACTCCTATACCGTAAACCCTGTTTACAGTCGTAATCCCCTAGACCGTAAACATAGTGTATGGTCGTAAACTCTTTCAACCATAAACTAAAAAATTTAAACTAAATTTGCTTAATTTGCTTGATTTCAAATGGATTCTACTGGTCAAAATCATTTCAATGAACTTGACACCATTATGGGCACCACCACACGAATTTCAAGATTGATGCCTGCAGATGGTTCCCCTGAATTGAAGTATAGAATTAAAAAGTACATCAAAATGAAAGACTTTAAGGTTTGGAGAATCATTCTTAGAGGCCCTGTTAGAATCACCACGACAGTTGGGGGCCAAGTGACTAACAAAGAGGTTGAAAACTACACTGATGAGGAGTTTGAAAAAATTGAGGAGCAAGAAAGGGCTTTAGCCACATTAAGTATGGCATTATCTCCCGAAATCGCTAAAGGTTTTCGTGAGGACACTTCAGCTAAAGATCTATGGGAAGCCCTAATTGAAGTTTATTAGGGCAATGAGGATATGAAGGAGAGTCACCAGGACATGTTGAGACAAAAGTTCAACATGTTTAACTACATTACAGGAGAGACTCTTGAGGCTTAATTGCAGAGGTTCGCAACTCTCACAACGGACATGAACATATCTGGGATTTACTTGACCAAGTCAGAAATCAACAAGAAGCTTCTCAACGTTCTTCCCAGATCTTGGGATATGAATGTTGCTGTAATAAAAAAGACTAAGGATCTAAACTGTATCACTCTTGCTAAAACCATGGCAATCATCAAAGCATGTGATATTGATGACAAATAGAGAGAGATCAATCACGTGAGCTCATACTCTACTGCAAATCATGGGATCTCATCCAACAATGCTCTATCCTCAATCATGTCCTCTTCAGGTCAAGGGTTTGTTGCTAAACCACCTCAGATTCAGACCTTCACTACTGCATCACCTATTCCTCATCCTCAGATTCAATCATCTGTCTCCGTACATGTTGTTCTGATGGGTTTTGAGCATTCTAACACTTCCTAAGTGTACATGCAACCCTAGGAACCTTGGATCTATGTTTGTCTAATTATCATGCAAAGTTGAATTCCAAGGCTATATTCCTATCTAGCATACATGGGGAACAATTTTAACTTGAATGATAGATAGAATAACTTACCTTGTTGTTGCTTGTGTTCCTTGAAACCTTATGAGCCTAGCACCCCAAGTGTGATGCCTCAAATGCTTCACACAACACCAAATGCTCTTGGAAAAACTTATGAGAGAACACACACTTCTTGAAATCGGCCAAGCCCTCTTGTTTCCTTAGTGTAACCGATTTTGGTGGAGAATATGATTCTTATATAGTGTTGACACATCTAGGGTTACACCATGTAAACCCTAATGTGTCATGACTCTTCATTTCCATGACCCATGGGTTTGTAACTCCCATGGAGCATCCTATGGGTGGAACCCAACTTGATAGTCCATGGAGCTTCTTAGCCCACTATACAAGATATGGATGATTTACATAATCAACCCATATATTTAATTAGTTATCTTTTGATCACTTAATTAATTCTAAATTAATTCTTCATCAAACTAATCAAATAATATTATTAATATATTAGAACTCATAATATATTAATAATCTCCAAGTGTTATTTCTCTCATTTAGTCTATCCAATTGCATGGTGCCATGCAACCCAAATGGACCATGCCGGGTCGGGTCAAGTACATACCAGAAAGAGTTATGGACTTAGACACCTTATCCAACAGTCTCCCACTTGGATAAGTCTAATAACTATTACTGCAAGTATGACTTCAGGAACCGATCGGCAATCGTAGCTCTTTTCAAGGTTTCTCGGAACTGAGAAGATGATGGTACGCCATTTAAGATAAGTGATCATATAATCCTCTGTTCTAGATATCAGTCGGACAAATACATGGAACAATGTCTTACTTATTGTCCAACAGTTTGTTTCCCGATTTCCGATTTGTTTGACAAAGAACTTAATTGAACACATCAACTTAGTTCTCACCGGGCCCGGTACATGGGTCAAAACAAAATCATCGAGGGGCCCAGATATCAGCTTCTAATCCAAGAAGGAACAGATAAACTTTGACTCATATGTAATGTTCTACCACTCATTGAATTACACAGAAGAGCACGATTTATAACATCGAGTTACCAATGCGTTTTCATACAATCAATGCATAACCAACTTGTAAGTAACAAATCATATCTCTAGGTTTGAAGACTTATATGATATTACCGTCTCACGATCACTCGAGATAGAATTCCATGAAGTGATTCCAGTGAGCGTGGGTTAAGTCCAATGCTCAGAACTTATGAGCACTCATGATTGTTGTAGCCCTTGTCTAACACCTTAGACCTCTGCAACTAATCATGACTGTCTTGATTCATACCTACTTCCGACATATGACCGACTGTGGAGGTTTGAATAATATGTTATACCAAACAAAATTATTCTGGAAGTCAAAACATGCAAAAAGAAATATAGTAAACGATTGACAAGAGATAGCAACACTTTGCTCATAAATAAAACACCTTTTATTCATCATCTAATGTCAATTACACTTTACAAATTTCGAGGTTATCTAAATACTAAATCTAATATCATCCTTCAGCCCTATGCTCCGAGCATGCTGAAGATGCTTAACCCGAGTCAGTCCCTTCGTGAGGGGATCTACTGGGTTCTCATCCGATGATACCCTCTTTGCCATGAGGAGTCCTTCTTCTATTCGATGTCTAATAAAATGGTATTTTCTGTCGATGTGCCTGGATCTCCCGTGATCCCTTGGTTCCTTGGCTAAGGCAACAATGCTTTCACTATCACAGAAAATTTCCATTGGCTCTTTAATAGCTGGTACAACTACAAGGTCTCCGATGAAGTTCTTTAGCCATATAGCCTCCTTTGCCGCCTCGCTCGCTACAATATACTCTGATTCACAAGTGGAATCTGCCACTGTCTCTTGCTTGGAACTCTTCCAAGAAATTGCTCCTCCATTTAGGGTAAAGACCCAGCCTGACTGAGAGCGGAAATTATCCCTATCAGTCTGGAAGCTAGCATCACTATACCCTATAACTCTCAAGTCATCACTCCCACCGAGGGTAAGGACCCAGTCCTTAGTCCTTCGTAGGTACTTGATAATATTCTTTACCGCAGTCTAGTGTGCCTTGCCAGGGTTCCCCTGAAACCTGCTAACCATGCTCAGGGCAAAGGCTACATCAGGTCGAGTACACGTCATAGCATACATGATCGAACCTACAACCGAAGCATAAGGTATTATACTCATTTCTGCTATCTCAGCCTCAGTGCTAGGGCTTTGTGTCTTACTCAATTTGGTGTTACTCTGGATGGGTAACTCTCCTTTCTTGGAGTCCTGCATGCTGAATCTTTTCAGCACCTTATCCAAGTAGGTACTCTGACTAAGTCCAATTAGTCTTTTACTCTGATCTCTCAAGATCCTTATCCCTAAAATATAGGCAGCTTCACCAAGGTCCTTCATAGCGAAACACTTTCCAAGCCAGGACTTTACTTCCTGCAGGGTTG